AACAAACAGAAAACTTGACACACCCAACCCACACATGAAAATCGTATTTTCGTAAAAACTATCAAATTCTAAAAGACTTCACTAAAATCCAAAAGAACCCAACAAGAGGTTTGGCGAATTTTTTTCATTAATTCCATCTGAAAGCAAAACTAGTTTCCTTCCAAATGACAAATTAATCTCTCGAAAGTTGTTCGGTATTTTTTTATTCTTCTTTGAATCGTTTCGGTGGCAACGAGCCGTGTCGAATTAGAGAGACATTTCGGTTGTTGGTAAAGGTGCGTCCGTCGGGATAACTATGTTGTTATCTTATTTATTCGAGTCTGGAGAGCGTATCAAGTTTTATTAGCTCTCGCAAATTGTTTTTAAAACATTGATTTTTTATTTTGTTTTATAATTTATACTAAAATTGATAACAGTCGAAAATCGACTACAATTACGTAGACAAAAGTAATAGAGCCACAATATATAAAAGTCGTTCATACGGACGCAAGTGTCTACCATCTCAAATAAATATACTCAAAAGCAAAGAGTTAAACCAGACTACAGAATCACAGATGAAGGGATTTAAAAAGAAAACGGTAAATGACAAAGTTTCAATTACAGCAATTCTAAATGTACCCAAAACGCAACCGTCCATATGTCGGGTTGGTTTGATTTTCAAACAGTTACCGGACAAACAAACGGTGTAGAAACATTTAGTGCAGATTGCCGAGCAAATATCTCTGGTATTTACGTTTTTTGTTGGTATTACTAAAATCCAATCCTGTATGAAAGGGTCTGGGGACAAAGCATTGCGCTTCTTACGCACGGTTTAGTTAATCCAATCATGAGTTCTGTGACAGTTTGCGAAACGAACAAATTCTCCAAGTGGCGCACGGTGGATTAAAATTAGACGGTAGTTACACATCTAAGGGATAGATTAAAAATATTCAGGCAAAGACAAATTTTAGGGAAAAAAACATAAAGAATTACGTGACTGTCAGGTAGTCAAAGCTTTTACAGAACAAACGGAATACATTTTTACTAAGTAAAATTTTAAGACTGATATTGGAAAGTTAAGTATTACCAAGTCTGATGACGTCATCTTATCGTATGTGTACAGTGCACAACAAAGTATACGTGATGAAGCAATCTAACAAGAGTAATGAACATAGCTGTGTTATTCGCTGTCTCAAGGTAAAGTCGTGTGTGGGCACATGAATCATACTTCACGTGACTCTGGTAATTGAGTCCATACTTTGATGATCTTGTAGAACACGATATTTTAACTTCAAAACAATTCAGTGATTTGTACACTTTTCAAATATAAATCGGAAGCGTTTGGTATTGTTAATTAGGCAAAGACAACTATCACAGATTGAAGAGGCCGAGGCGGCCCTCAGCGGCCAGTCGCGGCGAATTGAATCGTGTTCCGTTTTGGTAAAAAAAAACCTATGGTTGGAACGTTGGCGCCAACGCGCCCGCGAGCCTCTTTATTTGAATGTCTGCTGGCATTCCTAAATGTTTTCTTTTCAAATTTCTTTTTTTAAATGTTTAGTATAGTTCGAAGATGTTGAAATTTGAAAATAGAAATTTGAAATTTCACTTTTTAATTGATTTGTAAAATCGACTTAATTAATGACTAAACTAACTAAAAAGAAGTTATTTAATTAACTCTTGTTACATTAATATAACAGGGCGAAATGTTTGTTAATTTTTAAACGATTATAGTTACTGGAAACTACTACAATTTTGAGTACTGGCTGAATGTGCATCGTGCATGATAGATGTCAAGCGGCGATAGAATGACAGATGACAGTTGTCTTTGAATATGGAAAGATGCGTTTTGTTTTTATAAAATCAATTGGTTAATCTCTGTAAATGTTTGCTGAAATTAAGATGGTGGTCAACTAAGAATACTGTTTCTAATGTTACGCAATTGTTATTTTATTATCTCCGATACACGCGCGCCCACAATAGAAGATCGTTACCGTGTATATCATCAAATTCTATCCACACTCTTGCGCCAAATGATGTCTTGACGTCATACTCAAGTCATACTACTAAAGGAAAATCTTTAAGGAGATAAATGAAAAATGATGTCTTTGTAATATTCTTTCGAAATTTTCAAGTTTCTATGAAATACTGGATCGAATATAAAACACTTCGCTACATACGCGTTGCTTACAATCTGTTAGACGTAAAAATTCTAATGGAATTTGGACGTGGCATTATCATTGATGACGCTGTTACATATTTAAATATCGTTTTAGTATTCGGCCGTTGGTGTAGTAGGCATTGACCTATCAGTCCGTTATTTAGAATCTTACGTAAGGCCTATCACACCAAATTGTAAATAGCCTGATATCAATCCAACGTCAAAAATATGGTAATATCGGATTTTGTTACCTAATCCGAAAGTGACGTCATTTTTAAGCTATTTGAGCCTAAAGTCAAGAAATGCGAAAGTTCAGAAGTGTGGATGTTTGTTAGAGTTTGTAGCCTAAACGACTGAATGGATCTCAATAAAATTTGGCACAGATATATAGGATAGTTTGAAAGAATACAGAGGCTACTTACTTTTTTTTATTCCACGCGGACGGAGTCGCGGGCGAAAGCTAGTAATTTAATAATGTTTAATGGTGGTTAAAATCGGTGTGCGGCAATAGATAACAGTTCGTACGTTAGTTTGGGACAGGTTGGTATGTGAGTCACAGCGGGGGCGCACCGAGAACACAGACCACCCGTTTCCGTAGAGATGTAGACCTCCATAGAAACGGAAAAGCTTGCTTTAACTTTAGTGATGTGCTGTGCACGGACGTGAACGCGTTTTAAAAGCGTAGTTTAGCATTAGTAGACTCCTTAGACTTTTGCTTCACAAAAGGGTAATCAATGATGTCCTTGGACATCCGCAACACGAGAGGAACGAAATAACGAACTGAAAGACCCTAAGTCGTACTGGTTTAGAAATACTGCCGAAGACAGACAGACAGAGGACAGAGAGAACAGACCTAGACAGCTAACAAGATCAATAAGAAAAAAAATATTTCTCTTACCTTTTCAGTCCCTCTTCCACAAAACTTCTGCTGGAGTCTCTAAAACTTTCTTATGTCTATAATTCAATTTTAATTTAACAGTCATCTAAAGTCTCTAATTATTTATGAGTACAATCATGTAAAATCTACATGACTTTATATCAGGTCAAAATATTTGTTCGACAAATGAAAATATACCAATGTAAAATAAAAAAAATATGTACTGCAGTATTGAATTGATACAAGAAACTTCTTCGAAAATACATTCACAATGCTGATATTGTAAATTTGATTCCCGTATTGTTTATTGTAATTTTTGAAGTAGTTTTGACGTGTACATTTTTTCGTACTGCACAAAAATTCTGCAACTGGCAGTTGCAATAAGACCAAATACACGAGCGCTCTTCCCATCACTAATTGGAGCATACTCTTAATCCAATTCTAACAGTTAAGGTTATTAATAAAAAATATTAACGCGGTAGATGTCTGTTTTATTTTTATTAACTATTGCTCTTAATTCAGGAATACAAAACATCAACAAGATACTCTATCAACTTGCGTAGATAGAGTACACGTTAGTGATCTTCTAATATTTTAAAGAGGAAATTTGTATTTTTGTATGTATTGAAATAACTCAAAGACTAATGGACCGATTAAAAAAATCTTTCGCCATAAAAAACGTTACGTTATCACTGAGCAATATAGATTATTTTTCTTTAGTTTGACGCCGTCGAAGTTGTATTTTATATTTTCTAAACATCGCCCTTATAAGTTTAAGAAAAAAATAACTGATGGAATACAACTTAAAGCAGAGATAAGATAAGTGACTACTGATCGGAGGAGAGGATTCGTAGACAAATAACTTACTGCGTTGGCGCAGCGACCCGAAGTGGGTTTTGGCCTTCGACACGAGAGAGCGCCAGCGTCACAGACACAACGGTAATACAGAATCCAATAATTATTCATGAATACTAAAATCATATTAAACGTATTGTCTCAAACGCTCTACACTAACAATTCACGGTACAGCCTAAATATTAATTAATTGACCTGCATAGCGTCCAGCACGTGGTGCGCGGCGCCTTTGTCGGCGCATCAAACGTCACGCGCGCGCCGCCCGCGCCCCCTGCGGCCGCGCCCGCGCAACTAACAAATCCACTCCGTACCGAGAATTTTCGGATCGATGGCGACAACGGATGCTGCAAATTGTTCTCTGAATTTATGTTTTGATTATATTTTTTTTCTTAATTACATTTATATGCTTTACTGAAATTTAAAAATAATTTCAAGGAATTGAAAGGAAACTCAATGTGTTCAATGCAAGTTCCAGTATTTAGTTAAGTTTAATTTTTATCACCTTCCTAGTCCCCACTAGCACAAAAACAACATTTAAGGCTCTCTGGTGCTCCGAATCTCTATGGGCGTTTTTTATCCTCTTTTCATTAAGCTTCCCATTGCTGGCTTGTCTCCTATTTATATAAATAAGTGTTATCTCAAACTCCACTCGTACTAACATCCATCCATCGAAACTTTCACATTTATATTATTGGTAAGAAGTGAGATAAAATTCCATATTTTTTTATAACGAAAACTTTGTAAATTAATCATTAAAAAACTTAATGTAGGGAAAGCAGGAATGGTTTACACTCGAAAGCGTCAATTACAATTAAGCAGATACATTTTTGATAAACTAATATTGTGGGAAAAGTGGATACCAAATTAATTACGTTATCTCTACATATTGATGTTTTAATAAATAAAATTATTAATACGTTAATATCTAAACGGTGCGTTAGATTTTTAGATGTATATTATATTAGATACGTGTTTGATTGTTTATCTGTAAATCTGATACTAATTCTGATTAAGATAAAGAAATGAACCGAAAATACGTCTGAATTACTTAAATCCGTATGGTTATGTCGGTTGACAGTTAGTATTTTTCGACTTTGACAGCTGTCAAGTTTTGAACCAAACGTTTGAATTGAACATTGTGTTTTGAATGTGTTGAATGAAAAGTTAAAGAGATCTAAATTACGTCATTAGATAAGGTTAGTACACTTGAGTGCACTAAAAGAGTCTCAGTATTTTTTCATCATTTAATCGCGAACACGTTGCATCTAGGTCGCCTGAGGGCCGCTTTAAAGTTAAGCTTCGTTACATTTGAATTTTTTATCGCCTCAGGTCATTACCGGAGGAACGAGCTACGCAAGGAACTTGGGCACTTTAGAAACAATAGAAACATGCCTGTACATCTGCACTCCGCTTTTAAGAGAGCTCAAAGAAAACAAGGGAAATTGGACGTCGCTTGTTTTCAGTAGAGACACTGACATTTTACACTCGTTAAGTTAGTTTTCTTGCTCCGTGTATACGATGGACTCTCACAAAGCGCCCATGTGAATGACGGTATGGTCATCAAACATTTGTGTTGTTACACGACGGTAGGACAATGCAGTTGGATCTCTGAAATATTCCTAACAGCTAACTACGTTGTTCTCTAAAATAGAACACTTTCTGTACATAAACAGGCTGCAAATAGGTTTTTTTAATATTAAATGTACCTTAACTTAATTGAACATCCGTGAGACATTTTATAACTAATTAGCTGTTGCTCTCGACTTCGTTCGCGTTAAATTAAAAAATAATAAAAATTATGGCCTATGTTTACTTAATTAAATTACCTTTCTAATGGTGAAAGATTTTTTGAAATCGGCCAGTTGTTCTTACGTGAATCCAATACATAGAAAAATACAAATCTTTCCTCTTTATAATATTAATACAGATTAATTTACCGCTATTACTCACGAATATTTTTTTGGCAGAGCGAAGCGCGATGCGACCGCGAAACAACCCCAATAACATTCGCCCTGAAGAAAAACCCTTGCAGGGTCTGAAAGTGGTCGGCTGTCACCGAAAAAAAAGACGTGAGTGATAACCGTAAAATAATTAGTTAAGTTTACCTATTTATAGAATATTTCTTTATGTGAATAATAGCCACATAAGTCACAAAAACAGAGAAATAACAAAGAGGTAAAAAAGACATTTTTTTTTTCAGAACTTTTAATGTTACAGCGAACAATATTTCTCCTAAACATAAAGCTAACAAACCATTTAAAGAAAGAAACTTAAAAACGGTAACAATTTTGTTACAATTTAAAACAAGGAATATTCTAACATTTTCTAAAGGGTATTTAAAAATTAGCCTTGAAAGATAACTTACGATAAATTATTTTCTAATTAAGGAAAACGTTATCAAAGCTTACATCGCTAAAACTATGTTACACTGAACGTTGTTACAAAATGCATCTTGTTACAAAGCACGTCGTGTTACAAAACAATCTTGTAACGCATGTACTAGGCACGTTGAACGCGTCTGCGATGCAAGGCGATTCGATGCGAGGCGATGGCGTAGCGATATATCGTAGTAATTGCTAATTGAGCACGTCCCAGCCAACGCATTACAGCTAACTAACGTAGATATGATCCGATATTGCATGTTGTAGACACAATGTAACTGTAAAGTATGCGGCTAAGATGCTAAAACGAAAATTGAACGATTTCAGTGACAAATAACGTAAAAATGCTATGAGTTGTAAAAAGGTTATAAGAAAATTTAGAACACGCTGTATATTTTTAAATGGTTTCAGTTGTTTAAAATCTAGCGAGAATTGCGCATAACTATTTATTTACATAATAACGTTGGAAATTACACAACTGATCGAAATAATTTACTGATTACTGATATTAAAAAAAAAAGAGTTTAGAAATAAAAGATTATTAGCTTCATTTGAAACAGTATATATGCTATGATTGATTAAAAATTCTCAAAAGTATATAATTTTAACAATTATAATGTTCTTAAGATACGGGTTTCTTACCACGATTGGGTTTTTTAGCTTCCGATATTTCGGCACAGTTGCATGCGCCATGTCACGGGTTGACTCAAACTAAAACACTGGAGCTAAAACAACCCAATCGTGGTAAGAAACCCGTATCTTTCGAACATTATAATTCTCAAAAGTAATAAAAAAAAGTCACATTAAATTTCGACCGCTTAGGTAAAATCGTGGTAAAATTGTAAAAGGTTCTTTTATTCAACGATTAGTTCCACCAGATTTGAACATAGTTTAGATTCTACCATCGATTAGGTTCTTTATCAAACGGGCGAATTCTTGAAACGGGAAAATGTCAAAAATTCCATCGCCTAAAAAATGCTGATATTGTAACCCGGCCGGCACCAGTTTAGTGATGTTTGGTGGTTCCGAGATGAATAAATACATAAATAAGGACAGACAAGGTATAAATAAATAAATACAAATGGAGGCTACTGGCGCCACGCTCGCCGGCGTGCGCGCTCTTCTTGTTGCTTCGTACGTGGACAGGGAAATATAGCGAGACGTACACTGTTTAAAAAAAATAAATAAAAAGAAAATCTTTATGCACAAGTTGATGTTTACCTTGGTTACTTAGGTTATAAGTTCAGTTCAGTTTTTTGTCTATGGCACTCCGGATTGGGCCAGTGTCGAGTGTTTATGGTTTTATTCTTGTTCGGAACAGTTCGGAAGAGACTGGCAACAATACTCTGCTTATTGAAAAGTTTTTCGCTGGGTATAGCCTTAAATGGTATTATAGTCGATCTTTATGTTAAACAACAGATTTAAAAAAAATAAGAAAACACAAACCTAAACCATGTTTCAAGATTACAAATTCACAACCGACTTATTTTGTTTTAATGAATAAGAGACAAACTATATCTCTGAAATTCAAACGACGTAACCACAAACAGGACGAAAGTGCAGCACAAACAAATATATATTTTTTTTTACATTAAACCTTTACTTTATTATGATTTTAAATCTTTATTTAATAATTTTGTGATTTCGTATAAGATTTTAGAATGAAAAGCGTACGAGCTACTCCAAAGATTTCTCTGTCACTTGTAGGCTTATCGGATTTATAAACGCAATATTGTATTTGTATAAAAACAATGGCCTTATTATTGGTTGTGAGTCGTGTAGACGGACACGATTTGCTTTATTTTGAAGACTGGCAACACTCGCCAAAAAGTTGGAGCCATACGCGAACCTTTCTATTGTTCATATTTAACTCAACCGTTGGCCACACAGTAATCCTCGTTAATAAAATAATAATTTACAATATTCTATACTATCCGACTACATTCATGTCTAAACGAGGTAACGGAATAGTCTTCAGTCTTTTGTTTTGGAAATCTGAAGTCATATTCAAAGGACATATATTGAGTCATATATAGGACATATAGAGTTTTTAAAATATGCTGAGGTTGCTGACATATGATGCTACGAAATAGTTTGTGATTAAGCTTTATTATATGAGTAACTATAGATATAAATTAACCACGATATTTTAACTTGAACCTAAAAGACACCTATTGCATAATTTAAAAGTCTGCCTGCTGTAAGAGTATTTTAAATTTCATTAAGCGAGGCACTTAGTGTAGATACAAAGTACAGTAAAAAATCTACTGTAAGACTGTTTAAATGCTGTCTAACTCTGTCCATATGTTCCAATCCTTTGTCACAAGAAATAAGGATTCAAATCGTTTGAACATGAATAGTTTATATCAAAGTAGAAACTTTCTCAAACACCTGTCGTTTAGTGAATAGTTCAAGTTGTTTACAACTTCTAAACAAGGCAATTGATCCGTTCTTCGCCGGCCATTTTTCGTCAATCTTTAATGAACCCCATCGTTCCTGGTTTTCTTTAAAACACTACTTAACCCTACCAACCAACCCTTCATCTATAATTCTAAAAACCCTGCGGGCGTTAATGTCACGCCTTCATTACATATTTAGAACTACAAAACAATAAATTGAAAAATAAACTCTATTAACAATAAACGTTAAGTTGATTTTTGAACAAAAAGAAATTGTATAGAATGGGGTAATATTGCACACGTATTATAAGATAAAGTCTTCAGGTGCAAGTTACAATGTATTGTTTGCATTTCATGTAACCCTAATGGCGTTGGATTAAAGTTTAATTTCGTTGAGTGTTGATAGTTTTTTTATGGTTTTTAATCGTAGGTGAGAATCATGACGCCATGTTGTTTCTGTGGGGCGATGGTGGGGGGAAACTATGGGGTGTCTAATAAGAGGTTTATACTATTTTAATTGGCATGGGGCTACTATAATTTTACGTTTAAGAAATCAATAGTACTCGTATAGACTGAGGTGAACGAAAGCGTGTAGATATAAAGCGCTTATAAAAGTATTTCACACACATCACAAGTCTAACTAAATCTCATCATGTGACATAACAAATAAATACTAATGAATTTAAAATTAACAACAACTTATTAAAATATTAACAACCAAATCTATAAAGACTAAAATCAATATGAACATTTAAAGAAAATAAAAAAGTAGAATCGTTAAACTAACAATACTTTCGTTGGCAAACAAAGATCGTTAGAAGCATTTTTCAAACGATTGTTACTTGTACAATAGGAATTGAAGCGGAGATTTCATATTGGCGTAAGCCTCAAGACGCTTTCGAGTGCTAATTTGGAGCTCTCGAGCGGGGCAGGGCAGGGCACTTGGTGAGCAATCGACCGCCCTCAGAGCTATATTAGCCTGCGTTAGACTCGAGCCCACCTCCGCTCCGCTCGAGTGAGCCGTCTCCATGACACCTTTGGATGTCCGGCGGATACCCCTACTATCGGATTTTTAAAATCTAAACATAGTTCTAATTTCGAGTTATTTTTTTGGACGCAACGAAAGTCGCAATCTAAATTAAGATCATTTTTTTTATTAATAATGGTTAAATCGCTGAATGTCGGATTCAGAAATAAATGTAATCTAATTTATCACTATGTATTGAATCATAGATTGAAAAATGTCTATAAATCCATTAGTCTGACAAATTACCTACTTCTGATGATGTTATGTAAATAAAAAAACGGGTTTTCTATGTACTCCGAAATTGCAGTATTTTAATAGTGAATTCTCCATAAAAACGTTTTGAGAAACGAAATTTCGTTTCATCATAAATCATATTTCAGCGCAAGCTTATCTAGAAAAAAACAGTTAGTAACAATTTACATATATGCATTTACGTAAATTAAATATAAAAGTTTACAAGAATGATATAAACACTCATAAATCTTGTCACAAATGAACTTCGAGTTTCAATAGTAGGGAGTGGTGGTAAGGGTCAGCTGGGGGCAACACTGGTGTGAGCGCGGGGAGCGGGGGCGGGGGCCGGGGGGCGGGGGTGGCTCCGGCTTTTGACAGTCCGCATTGCTGTAGTGTGCGAAACTTTACAATTCTAACTTCTAGTGCCATTCCAAATGGATTTTCGAACAAAACCTCTTTGTCGTACTTTGAATGCTAAGGTATTAAAATGTAGTTTGAATTTTTAGCTTATAATATAAGCTTATTTATTGGAAAACCCTTAACTTTACTTTTATTTTAGCGACGATACAAAAATAATAAACAGGAGTAACTTAGGATTATTTTATTATTTTGAATTCCCGTTTACTGTAGAGCTGTGGAGACAAGTTATTGCTGCTGTCTAGTGGCTAGTGGCTAGATACATCAATATCAACTAGAATACGCTACCTTCTTTCTAGATAATTCGATTAAAGTTCAACAATAGTAGATCCCGTAATAACATCTTTTGCACCAATGGGACCACTCACTCAGTTCAATATCACGTCGTTATTTTGGCCAGCTGCACGTTTTTAGTACAAAACAAATTTCAGAATCCGTGAAGCCTTTGCGTAAGCAACCCCAGCAATTATTACGTAATCTTTAATTAATATAATTTAAAGTTAATAAGGGTAAAATTTATACGACTTCATTTCTTACAAAAACTTTTCTTGTTACTTACGTAATTCAACAAATTATTAAAGTCGATTTAATTTGTTTCGAGTTGGTCCTCG